AATCGTAGCGAACATTGAGCTGGCTGGCTAGCTTAGCGGCAGGTAAAAAGGAGTCATATTTGGCAAGTTGTGGCTTGCGACGGGTTATTAGCATTGATGATGGGATTGCGTTGCATGTGTTAAGGCTTCTAATAGCGTCCTTCGTGTGATATCGGCCACTAATGATCCATGTACGCCCTATGTTTAATATTCCCACTTTTCGCGGCGTTGGAATTTGATAGTCTGCAGGCAATGTGGATTACCCGGCTATGCTTGGAATGGGTAGCAGTCATGTAAGGCCCCGCTAAGTCATTAATATTTATTAAATAAAAAACATTTCACACACGTCAAGTGCATGCCTATATATCTGTCTGACAGCGAGTGCTCATAATAATACAGAAATCAGAGGAATCCAATTGAACACCAATGTATTTTTATAACAATTATATTTAATTTCTGCGATGAGGGGGGGGGAAGTGGCGGCCCAGTTAGCGGGTTTTGCTAGGAACCAGTCCTGGGTTCCCCACATTCACCAAAACTCATAACTGACCAGCACGGTGAAGTGTGATCAAACACGGATGTCACAGATGCCCGTTCAGACTACTACATCTGTGAAAACAAAAACAAAAGAGCTTCGTAGCTCATCGGATTCCCTCCGGTTGAAGCAAAAACCACAGAGTGCCCCGTCGATCACGTGCGTGAGTGAGACTTCTGTCAAAAAGCCCGCGTGAGGCCTGGCAATCGGGGAGCAAAGGGTTCACCTGCACGGCAATTGACGAACTGTCGCGAATTTAATTGAAAAGGGATTACAATCAAAGGATCGATACGCATGGGTTTTTTTTGTTTCTTCCCATCGCGTTGAATAGGGGCGCCTGTAGTGGCTGCAGGGGTGACGTGAACATATTACATACAACATAGAAAAATTATAAAGGCGCAGCCCTGCAATTGCACCTCTAGAGAGGGCTCAAGAGATCCCCCTCTGGAGGGTAGCTTGGCCTACTCTTCAATGCTGGCCAGACGTCCTGGAATAAGTGGGAATACCCACACTGTACCTCACCACACATACGCCGGTCACTGCATCGCGTGCTTTCAGATGTGCTGATGCGGCCGTCTGGAACGCTCTTCCGTCCGATATTAGGAAGCCACCGGAGCTATGCTCATTTATTTAGAACTGCTTTTTTGTTTACTTTGTTGTACTTCCCTCGCACCTCCGATTAGCATGGCTGGCGATGTACAGTACGAAAAAAATTCAACATACAACGTGTTGATTGATCTGCGGTGTTATCCATCTATACTGCTGGGTGGACAGAGGTGGCGGGTGGGATTTAATAAACTTGCTCCATTGTTTTACCTGCCACACCGGGAGATGAATCGGACTGGCGACCTCTGGATTGCAAAGTCCCATGTGCAAACCATGACACCACAGCAGGATCCATTTGTGAATATCATTGATAGCATTTCAATTCGTCTCCTTAATTATAGATTTGTTAGTTGTTATTTTTTTTTCATTGTACGTTCTCAAATATATGTCATTGTTCTTATTTCTAGAGTGATAAGTGAAGGAATATCTAAGTCTATGCTCTCCGGTTGCCTGGGAGAATAGTGGTGGAGCTATATCCCTTCCCAATCCTGGCCAGCCTGGCAAAAAAACTATAAATGAAACGATGATATCACAACATCGATGTTTACACACGCGATTCGATGCTGGTATCGTGACCTTAGGAATCAATATCAATCAATGGACTTGTTCTGGGCCATGGTCTTCTCGCCAGCCACAATGTGCCCTCTCACAGCAAAGGCAGAGTAATACAAACCAGAGAAGACAAAATGCCAGTAGAGTAATGCGATGGCACAACATTCTACAGCCATTATGGTTGGGCAAATAGAGTAAATATATAAAAAATGAGATGCACGTCTTGGCTATTTTTAAAGCATTACGTAACGCCACTGAAAATATGTCTTGCCGTTCAGCATAATATATTTTGTCTCTGACAACTGGGGATTTATGTTTTTTTTACATTGATACAACCTGGCCCCATCTGAATATACATATAACCATAATATTTGGCCCTTTGTCAAACCGCTGCTGGATGAAGGTCTGCCATGCTGCGTCGGTGATGAGGGTTGATTGACCATACTTCACCATGCTGTTCATTGCAGGTTGGTGTATACGGAGCTCATAAACCGGTTAATACATAACTTTACCACAGATTTTTGTTACGTTTAATCTTTTTAGCCATGGTCAGAAATTTAACTTAGCTTTGGCAGGTTCACAGTGCAATGCACAATGCCCTGCACCCCTGTTCCAACCGACTCACTCTTAACTTAAGTTTTTCAAACTGCAGTAGTTTGATATACATTGCTACATAAAACTGTGCACCCATTGTATATACCGAAAATAAAAAAAGGCAAGAATATTTCACAATTAGAGGCACTTATGTAATGGCTTACACAATAGCACTTGGATACAGATGCATGGAAATCATACTCGGGGTATTTTACGTACGAGGTGATGCACATGGTTTCCTCCTATCACCAATTCACCCTGAATGTCGCCGATCTTGCCACATCTCGGGAAGCTAAGCAGAGATTTTTTTGGCCTTGTTAGTGCTTGAATGGGAGACTGCCTTGGGGAAAAAAAAAACAAGGTGACACTCACACCACTGGCACAGACTTCTTGTGTTTTGATGTGTAAAGATTGTCATCCCATATACGTGGAGCTATGAGTATTATTCCCTCTTAATTATGCATGATTTCTCCAGTTCTTATACTTTCCTCTCACATACTAAACACCCATTTTATGTAATTGGCCAAGCATCCCAATGCAAGTGCCTCTCTTGTCGAAGAGTCTTGAGAATCCGTGCGACCGATAAATAAAGGGCACTTGGCCATGAAGTGAGTCTTGGCGATGGGTTTGCCACCTCTCTGTAGGGACCGTTTGTCCTCGCGTCCTCAGGCTGTGACTAACCGAGCGGGTGATGTGTGGCTGAGGCTCACATTGGCACAAACACAGCCACTCAACACAACGCACACAAGCGCTGTTTTCCTTGCTTCAGCATCGTCAGAGGAAGCCTCCTCGGAGTCACGGTTCGAACACTGGACTTGCGATCCAGAGGTTGCCGGTTTCTTTTGAGCTCTCTCTGTACGCAACAGTTGAAATAATGGGGCAAATTTATTAAATCCCTTCCGCCGCCGTCCACCCAGCAGTGTAAATGGGGTGCACAGCAGTCGATCAGCAGGTCACGTATAGTGGGGAAAAGTGTGGGTACTCCCACCTCTTTCACAATGCCCGGCCGGCGTGGTGTCGTGGGCTAGAATATCTTCTAGAGGAGCTTTCTAGAGCACCCTCTAGTGGAGGCGCTTTCACCAGCATTGACGTGAGCAAGAATTGATTGCTGCACCTTTGCCCCTTTTATATTTTCAGTACCGTCAGGCGTGTCCATTGGACATATTGACATTTTCTGTTTTGTTTATCTCTGGGACTCTTTGCTTTCGTATTTTTGGTTTAATCTCATCGTCTGAATGTCTTCCCTGTCTGCTTGACTGCGTCTGCGAATGTTTGTATGACTGTTCGTCCCGTGTGTTGTGACTTGGAGGTCAACTCAGCCCTTCATCTCTCCAGGGTCAATAAGCACACTTTGTAGGGAAAGTCAACAGTGGTTGTCCTGTGGAAAGACTTCCTCCATCATAGGAATGTGGAATATCAGTCACTGGTTCAGGACTGTACACGGGACATGAGCGTTAAAAAAAGTTCAGTTGCGTGGAAAATCACATTGACCTTTTTACTCTGACAAATCACCATACGGTCATCTCTTAAGTCCCTTAATTGCAATGGTACTTTGTGACATCACCGGACCGAAATCGCAGTCATGGAAGGTATAGTACAAATATTCCGTACCTTTGTATTCGTTATTGATGTATCACCTGTTCAGATCAAAATGCAAATAATAAACATTTGACCGTTTATACACGGAAGATAGAAACAGAAAAGGATGTGATCATCGTCGTGGTTACATTATCTCGTTTGGCTCAGCCAAGGGTGGGAACCAGTTCCCTTACGGATCGTCAGAGATGACTTTAAAAACTACCTTTGGCGGGCCGCACATTCACAATCACACCTCAGCGTCATCCAATAATAACGTGAACGGCAGGGTTCACGTTCTTAATTCTTCTTTCGTGTGGCTGATGGAGATGCAGAGCAACGGCTACAATTTCACATTCAGGTGGTGAAGCCAGACAACCGTGTCGGGAACAGCGGAATGTGGCGCTCTCATGCCTCCCTTCGTATTTGTGGATCGGGCCATTGCGTCGTTATGATGTTGTATAGTCCCTTCCTGGATGACCACAGTCGCACACTACTGGAGAGTTGTACATTTTCCATTTGTGCATCAGGTATCCGCATCTGCCATGGTTTGTGAGGATGCTGTTTCGGGTGGACCGTGAGCTTCTTGAAAGATCAAACCCTGGGATGGCTAAGAAGATGCTTAGAGTGATGGATAAGCATCTATCGTGTGACATTTCAGAGTGGCCGTGGCCATAAGAAATTAAGTCATCTGCTTAACTAAGCTGCTCGGCCCTGATTTCAGGGCATCACTTGTCAAGACGCTCGTGTTAGGTATGGTTAGTCGTAAGTGTTCAATGCATGTTGTTGGTTGTATGTATTTCACGTGTTCTATGTATATCATGTGTTGTATGTATGTTGTGTGTGTCGATCACACGTACAACAGTTCAGCTGCGTGGTGATTCGATGAATTGTCATTGTTATTCAGGGTCACGATTCATTTCAAGAAAGGTTGACGTGAACCATTTACATACAACGTGCCAACAAATTGACTAAATAAAATGAAAACTCGATTCTTCCACACACTCGCGAGTCGACGCATGCACCGGCAGCTCACAAATTGGCGGCGGTCAAAATCAATCGCAACGTCGCTTCATGCACCGCCCCCCCTCTCCCCCCTCGTGCCCATGTCTCACTCTCTTCCCATCTCTATCTCTCCCCCCCCCCCCGCCATCTCCAGACGTTGACGAGTGCGAGGTTAACAATGGCGGGTGCCAGCACGTGTGCGTCAATACCATGGGCAGCTACGAGTGCCTGTGCAAAGAGGGCTTTTTCCTCAGCGACAACCAACACACCTGCATCCACCGCTCCGAAGGTAGGGCGCTCTCCTCTGCACGTGTGCGTGTACGTACGTTGAAACTTTTCCTTCGCACCGTGCCTAGCCAACCGCGCCAAATCGGAGGCGCGGGGGAAGTGAGTCGGAGGTGTGGCGCTGAGGGCAGAAGCGGCACGAAAGAAATTGCTTGGGTTCCCAAGAGCTCAAGAGCACCCCGACCCTCTATCTCCCCACTTCGATTCACGTGGACTTCAATTGTAGCCGTATTCTCCGCAATATCAGGTGCTCCAGAAGGTAAGACGAGTGCTTGATGTCAGCCGGAACGGTCTGGAGCTCTGGTCCGGGAATTCGTTTGGCACGCCACATCCATCTTGCCTCATTTTGTCCTCACGCTTTTGTACATACCTGGCACTTAAGATCATAGCATATATGGGGCACTATAGTGTGAAATTATAATTGACAGCTGTAGCTTGTATCCTAGTGGTAGTGCCTTATGCCGGTAATCCCTACTCCATGTCAGCCGAGCAGCGTTTCAGAAAATGTCTAATGAGAAACTAATCTCTTGTTGGTGAGACACACCACAAACCTGCGCCCGGTGTCAAAAAAGTAATATAAATATGGTCACACGCACACACTTACTTGATATATAAGACAGTTGAAACTCCACTACCAAGTATTGTAACAAGACACAACGGTATTCAAATAGCACTTGTGCATTATGGGAAGAAAAAAACCCTGCATCAACCGTTCCTGAATAAGTGCATTGTGAGTCCTCTTGTCTAAGATCACCATCAAAATAATTTGAGCACACACGTGCGACTCACTGAGAGGTAGCAGTGATGCAGAGGTAGACACCTCGCGCTGCGCTATGTAAGGCAAACTCACGTTCCCAATGTCTCAGATCTTTGCAGATTGCCCTGAATTTGGCTACATCGGACAATGGGTCCTCATTCAGTTCGCGAACTCACACACACACACACACTTTGGCAAGAGAAAAGCGGACGAAAAGTGCTGCGTGTAATTGTGATACTCTAGGTGCGTGCGGCCTATGTTACCAGCAAACTCTGCTGTCACACGGGGTGGTGGGGGAGGGGGGGGCTGAGGGTTAGACAGTGGGAGGCGGGAGTTGGGCGAGCAGAGTATTGATGCACCGCCACGGGGCAGTCTGTAGCAACCGCTCTGACGCGATTACACGGTCGTGCCGCGCGTTAATCGGAAGACGTCCGATGTTTCGCCTCCACGAGCTCCTAAGCTCAATTGAACCCTTTCCCGTCCCGAGACGTCCGCAGGTTGCAGGGTGGGTCCCGTTCGCCGCCGAATCTCGGCGGAGAGGCATGGCGCCGCTGTTTTAGAAGACTTTGTACTCGCCGCAGAGAACCGTAGCGACACGACCGCACTCCACGGCCTTGTGGGAGCCTCGGTACTGGTGACGTTATTTTATTTTAGTTTCTCTTCCAGTTCCGTTCGGAACGGAATCGTAAGAAACACTAACGACGTACACGCACGTACGTCATCGGATGGGGAAAGGGTTTCCCAACGCACGTTGTGGAACGTGGAAAAATGCGCGGGGCAACCCAGAAAACGAATTGGACTGCTGTGCGGTAAAGTGCGTGTGAAAACCTTACGCAGTGGGGGCCTATAGACAGTTAAAGTAGTGACTTACAGCACCCTGTCAATCCTCGTGTGGTTTAAGTCTGTCATTGGAATTGTTTCACTGTACTTTACCATGGTCAGCATGGATTGGTGATGTGGGGGGGTGGGGGGGGGGCAGTACAGGTACAGATATCTCTCACTCCTGAGGTTAGCCATGGCCGGGAATTTAACACGACTTTATGGGTTCATAGCGCACGTCACGAACCACTGTAAATAGTCAGTTTATTTATCAATACATTGCTGTCCTCAATGTATCAATACAATACATTGCTGACCCGCCCCTAGTGGACATATGTGAACAGGAGCTTCATAGCTCATCGGATTCCTCCAGTCTAAACGCAGATTCTGAATCTGACATGCGTTGTAATGGTTAGCACACCGGACTTGCAATACAGAGGGCGTCGGTCCAATCCGATATCCTGGCTCTGCAGTTGCAACGATTAGGCAAGTTTCTTAAGTGCCCATGCTTCTGACCACCCAGCAGTATACAATGAGGGAAAAAAGTATTTGATCCCCTGCTGATTTTGTACATTTGCCCACTGACAAAGAAATTATCATTCTATAATTTTAACGGTAGGTTTATTTGAACAGTGAGAGACAGAAAAAACAACAACAAAATCCAGAAAAACGCATGTAAAAAATTATTTGCATTTGAATGAGGGAAATAAGTATTTTACCCCCACTCAATCAGAAAGATTTCTGGCTCCCAGGTGTCTTTTATACAGGTAACAAGTTGAGATTAGGAGCACTCCCTTTAAGAAATCTTCCTGATTGAGAGGGGGTCAAATACTTATTTCCCTCATTAAAATGCAAATGAATTTATAACATTTTTGACATGCGTTTTTATGAATTTTTTTGTTGTTATTCTCTCTCTCACTGTTCAAATAAACCTACCATTACAATTATAGACTGATCATTTCTTTGCCAGTGGGCAAACGTACAAAATCAGCAGGGGATCTAATACTTTTTTCCCCTCACTGTAGATGGACGCACCACAGTTAGTCGGTCGGCAGTGCGCGTGCGGTGGGTCAAAGTGTGGGAACTCTCACTTCTCCCAAGCCATCTGGCCAGTGTGGCAGAAGAGGGAAAATACTCTCCTGGGTTCCTTCCAGTGGAGGCCGTGCCTTCAGCAGTGGCATGAGCAAAACATTCGCAGGGCTGCACTCACACTTTCTGAAGTTACTCGAGCAGGAATCTGTTGAGTGCATGGGTAAATGGTGTTCGTGCGGTTCTGCTGGGGGCCCCCCCACAATATATTAAGGTTGCCCCTGAGTGTTGGAGAGCGTAGTTGTCACGGCGCTCGTTACGGTTGATTTACGCAGTGCCGTTTTGGGAACAGAACCGGGGACGTGCAGCGTTATGACTGCTCATTACACCCCTACCTTGTGTCCATTTGGCAAGGAAATCTGAATATTCAGCATAGCTGTCAGGACTGCACTGTGATATAAATGAATGCTGGCATTGAGCATAGGCGTTTGCCATTCATAGCAATGAACAAAAATGTTGTCATTAAAATTCAATATGAGTTCCACCAGTGCACATTTTGTACATTAAGTGATGACAAATGCGTTCCTAACCACAGCATACACATTGCATTCGCTACCGTGTGTGTTGCTTTTGATGAAATTTACTTCAGAAAGAGTGGCCCGTTTGTCATGATGAATCTGCACGAGTCAATGATGAGGCTGTGTACAGCTATCACTGAGCTAGTATTGTCTGTGGGTATGATCAGTGCATTGCCAGATTACAATACCGTGTTAGTTGTGACATACAGGCCGTGGACAGGGATATATTCAAGAATACGATTGCATCTCTGTGATGTCACGTTGACGTGCAAAGCATGCTGGTATTTAAGGCAATCTTCCACTGTTTCTCCATCACACGTCAGGGCTGCGACGTGGCCCAGCGGTAGCACGTTCGCCGCTTGTTGCAGAGGTTCAAGGTTCGAATCCAGCAACCGCCGTGATCGTTACTGCCGTGTGGTATTAACCCGAAGTAGTAGCAGTGACACTACGCACCGCCTGCTTCCCAGTGGACGTTACAAGAGTAGGCCACTGTGTTGCAAGAGAAAAAGAAATGGCACGGAAAATTATTCCATCGGGATTGCACAAAGCAAAAGTTGCCTCCAACCGGCGGAATAATGCCCCATGTCACTCTGGCAAATTAAATTATCCTGGTCTATTGGTTTCTCACCACCTGGTTAAACAAAATTAACTGAACTAACTTAACATAATTTATATTTGTGATGTTAAATGTGTAATGAACTCATAGAATGTCAGGATGTTTAAAGGGCATCATTCTTCGTGTGTTTTCATCTATAGCTGAACGAATTATGACGATGATTATGATTATTAGACACCGCAAAACCTCAATGTGTAACTTAGTGAGAGTAAATCTTGACTTAAAGCTTTCGTGACTGCAGAAATTCATATTATTTGGTCGTTCAGTCAAGTCACGTAGATAGGTTCAAAGAAAATGCCTTTAAAACATCCTGCCTCAGCAGCTTTCCAGCTATTTTTTTCTCTCCTGATGACGATTGCTTGTGTTGCGATGAAAACGTAGTTTTTTGTTAGTGAGAGTATACAAAGGTCTATCAATGCAGGTCTCAGTTGGACAAAAATTGAGAGAAACGTTTAACAAACACATTACATTCCCCTGCCACGTGTGTTAAATCAAATATTTGCCACCTTTAATTTCTGGTTACTATTTTTCAATTTCTTTCCTTCTCCAATAATGTTGTTATGAGAAGCGAGTCAAAGATTGTTTATGTTTGAAAAATAAACCGAGTGTTTTCTCTCTAAAGAGTCTTATTGTGATTGCAATTCTCTTGGCTTACAGGCAGCCAAGTCAAAGTGTTACTTGGATGGTATTGTTATTCAGTAGGAAGCCATAAATTAATACAAAGAATTTTTATATTTGGCCCAAAATCCATTCCTTTCTCATCTCTCTGTGTTTTTTCATGTGTCTGTGCACCAAGGTCATCCAAAAGTACAAATATCAATTTGACTTAATTTTCCATTACTGATGTGTAATGATACATTTTAATGAGGACATTTTGTCTTAAAAAAAAAATCTAGGCATGGCTGCTCCACGGATGATTAATTATACGTGCGAATTCATCACAAAGATGCTGACGAGGCCCGGTGGTTAGCGCACTGGGCTTGCAATGAGCCTTGAAACAACGCAAAGCTCTCCGGCACTATCTCCTGGCGCGGCAGTTGAAACGATCGGCACGCTCCTGGATACTTTCCATCTTTGTTCACCGAGCAGTGTAAATAGGTACACTGTGGTTCGTCGACTGGCAGGTCCCTTGTCGTGGGGTAAAGTGTGGGTACTCCCACCTCTTACATGATGTCTGGCCAGTGTGGGAGAGTAGGCCAAATAGC